ATGGAGAAGAGAGAGAAGAGAGAGAGAAAGGGAGAGAAGAAAGAGGGAGAGGAGAGGAGAGAGGGAGAGAGAAGAGAAAGGGAGAGAAAAGAAGAGGGAGGAGAGGGAGAAGAAGAGGGAGAGAGAGGAAGGGAGGAGAAAGGGAGAAGGAGAAAGAGAGAAAAATTCCCCGTTGTTTCCTTCCTGTTTCAGTTTATTAAAAGCGACGGCATCTGACTGACTCCTGGCAAAGACTTGATCGATCCATCCGTCCCTCTTGGAACGGATGGATCTTTTTCGACAAAAATCAGCCAACTGCAGGATGAAAGGCGGGCCTCCCCCTCCCTTGCCAGATACCTAACCCCAATTCGGGTGGTGGCGACGGCCAATCCGGTGCCAAACGGGGCAAGGAATTACGGGGTGCCCCCCACCCCCCCAGTCCCGTCCCGAGCTTTCCCTGGCGGACGTTGGAAGGAGAGAAATTTTTCATTTCGTTGAACGCAGACCTGAGAAGGATTAGAAACGGAGGATTTTCCAGACAAGATGCCTCCTTTTGTCGCGGGAAGCTTTGAAACAACCCAACGGGCTTTCCTCCAACTCTTCCCTGCTTTTTTTTTTTTTTTGGCAAAACTCAGAGGAGAAAAGAAATTGGAAGGGAAGGGAAGAGAGAGATGCGGCGTGAACTCAACGTGTTTTAACTTCTCCCCTCCTTGGTTCTCGTGGCTGGAAAGAGAGCAGGCGGCCTCCTGGCACAAGGTTGCCATGCGACGGTGCCCGTCTGGCACGGCTGCTCCCCTGCGGGATCTGCGGCACCTGGAATCCGATGTCTCCATCCAGACAGAGGGTCGCTTGTTCTCTTTGAGGATGTTTCCACCCCTCCCTCCTTCCCTGCCTCCCCACCCCCCCACATACAGTTTTTTTTTGCTTTCAATGGGGCTACCCGGGGCGGCTGAGAAGGGAACCGCGCACCCCACCACGCAAATATTTGCTTTCCCGACCTTGGCTGAGAAATCCGACCGAGCTAAAGTCGATTAAAAGTGCCAATAAATCAGATTTTTTTTAAAAAAATCCAATCTTAAAAGGATTCTATAATATAGGTAGTCCTCGACTTACGACCGCAACGGAGCCCGAAGGTTTCATGTGGTTAAGCGAGACGTGGGTTAAAGCGAGTTTTAAGCCCCGCGTTGCGACTTTGCCTACCACCGTTGTTAAGCGAATCCGTGCGGTTGGTAAATGAGTCACGCGGTTGTTGAGTGAATCCGGCTCCACCACCCCCCGCGAAGGTCGCAAAAAAGGGGAATTACGCAACCTTGGGGAGACAGCGACCGTCGTTAAGTGTGAAGCGGTCGCCAAGCGTCTGGATTTTGATCACGTGACTGCAGGGAGGCTACAAAGGTCGTAAGTGTGAAAAACGGTCGTAAGTCGCTTTTTTTCCAGTGCCGTTGTAACTTTGAACATTCACTAAATGTTCGGTGGTAAGATGACAGGTAGTCCTCGAGGTACGACCGTTCATTTAGTGACCGTTCGAAGTTGCAACGGCACAGAAAAAAGTGACTACCATTTTTCACACTTATATCCTCGTGATCGTGCGATCAAAACGCTTGATGACTGACTCGTACTTATGACGGTTGTAGTGTTCCGGGATCCCCTTTTGCGACCTTCTGACAAGCCAAATCAAGGGGGAGGGGGGGAGGGAAGGAAGCCAGATTCATTTAACAACCGCGTTACTCACTTAAGAACTGCAGTGATTCGCTTAAACAACTGTGGTGAGAAAGTCCGTCAAATGGGTCAAAACTCACTTAACAACTGTCTCGGTTAGCGAGAGGAGTTTTGGGCTCAATTGTGGATGTAAGTCGAGGACTAACGGTAGTTTAATTAAATAGGGAGGTTGGTAATTTTTCTTTTCTTTTTTTAAATGACATATGTCATTTGTCAACTCGCAAAGCATCCCTGGCCTGCTCTTGAGTTGCCATAGGCGAGGGAGATGGGAAAATGAACTCTGCAGCTGTGGCGAGGGAGCACAGTCAAAACGAAAGCACATTCCAGCCATCTCTCTGTCAAGGCCATCTCCCTGGTTACCTACAGTAGCAGGAGGGGAGTGATCTCTACATCCCTCGAAATTGCTTTGTTGGAGAATGTGACTGATGACACACCTTGGGGGGGTGGAAACAGGGTCAGAGCTGGAGCGGAAATTACGTGGGGTCAGAGTTGGCTTGTATAGATTTGGCTTATACAGTTTATACACTGTTTATACACTGCTCAAACAACTAAAGGGAACACAAAACTACTGTATGTAATGAACAAAGTACTTAATAAGGCTATTTCATTCCTTCAGATCTCGGATGTCTTCTGCTTGCGTCCCCTTTATTTTTTTGAGCAGTGTACATAAACATTTCCTTGTCCACGTTGTACATATTTTGACAAGCTGTTGTTGTTTTTTTTCCCCCCTAACGGAATTCCTTCTGCTGAGACAGTATTGTTTTCCACTCGTTTGGCTTGGCTAATTGTGATTAATAGATTAAAAAGTAACACAAACACACACCGCTTGATGGATGAACTCGCTCTGTGTAATTTGGTGGAGATAATTGGGCTGCCTGCATCCGAAGAAATCCATCCAACAGGCACAGGACACAAAAATAGAATAGAATAGGATAGGATAGAATAGAATAGAATAGAATAGAATAGAATAGAATAGAATACATAATAATAGGATAGGATAGGATAGGATAGGATAGGATAGGATAGGATAGAAGGATAGGATAGGATAGGACAAGATAGAAAATATGGAATGGAATGGAATGGAATGAATGGAATAGAATAGAATGGAATAGAATAGAATAGAATAGAATAGAATAGAATAGAATAGAATAGAATAGAATAGAATACATAATAATAGGATAGGATAGGATAGGATAGGATAGGATAGGATAGGATAGGATAGATAGGATAGGATAGGATAGGATAGGATAGAAAATATGGAATGGAATGGAATAGAATAGAATAGAATGGAATAGAATAGAATAGAATAGAATACATAATAGGATAGGATAGACTAGAAAAACATGGAATAGAATGGAATGGAATGGAATGGAATAGAATAGAATAGAATAGAATAGAATACATAATAATAGGATAGGAAATAGGATAGGATAGGATAGAAAACATGAATGGAATGGAATGGAATAGAATAGAATAAAATACATAATAATAGGATAGGATAGGATAGAAAACATGGAATGGAATGGAATGGAATGGAATGGAATGGAATGGAATAGAATAGAATAGAATAGAATAGAATAGAATAGAATAGAAAATACGGAATGGAATGGAATGGAATAGAATAGAATGGAATAGAATAGAATTGAATAGAATAAAATACATAATAATAGGATAGGATAGGATAGAAAACATGGAATGGAATTGAATGGAACAGAACAGAATAGAATAACAGAGTTGGGAGGGACCTTGGAGGTCTTCTAGTCCAACCCCCTGCTTAGGCAGGAAACCCTACACCACTTCAGACAAATGGTTATGCAACCTCTTTTTAAAAACTTCCAGTGTTGGAGCATTCACAACTTCTGGTGGCAAGCTGTTCCACTGATTAATTGTTCTAAAAATAAAAAAGCATATATTTCGGGGGGGAAACAGCCACAATAAAACCTATGGATTCTTGTGTTTATTATTCCCCAAAATAAGCACTTGCATATTCGTTTTTGTTTTGAAAACGAAAATGAAAAGCTAGAAAAATTTCAGAAATGTGGACTTTTGCCAAGGGGGGGGGGGGGGGGCGGGGAGGGGGAAGAGAGAGATTAAAATTGGACGGGGAAATCATAATAGTAATAAAAGAAATAACTACAGGTAGACCTTTTTTCCTGAATGTCCAGCATTCAGAAAGCAAAAAACAAACGGAAGAAACCCCTGTCCGAACGGTGAAGTTATCCTGACCGTACATTTAAACAAGCTGTGATTTGAACCGTATTCAAAACTGCTAACACAGCAAACGTGAGATTTTATTGCAGGCGTCCACCGACGCAGAGAAAAAAAAATAATGAACTTCCTTCCTAAGCGACGTGAAAATGTAATTATTTCTTTTTTAGCCACTTTAAAAAAAAAAAAAAAAACACTCTCGAACACCGGAGCGTTGGCCGCTGGGAAAAACAACTTAGCAGATATATAATTATATAAGATATATAATTATATAATTCTGAATCTGGATAGGGATCTTCCAAATCGTTGGGTTGTTAGCTGATCATCGCTACTTCGTGGTACTTGTGAAGACGCACAAACTGCAGCTGGGATAGGTTTGGCCAAGGGTGGGGCTGAGTTTTGTGGGCAAAACTAGAAAGGCGGTGCGTGCACAGAAATATTGGGTTTTTTAAAAATATATATATGAACCTCCTGATTACAGAAATAGCTGTAATAGATTGGGTAGGCCCAAAGATGCTTTCCCAAAAGGCAACTGGAATTTCTTGTGGTTTTTCCTTGAAAAGGTTTCGCTTCTCATCCCAAGAAGCTTCTTCAGATTCTGACTTCAGCTCCAACTTCGTCAGTTAGAACCGAAGAAGCTTCTCGGGTCAGAAGCGAAACCTTTTCAAAGATCTACCCAATCTTTATGTCTGTGGAGATTCTCCATCGTCCAACCATCGTCATGGTTTGTCTTGGGATTTTTTTCCTTTCTTTTTTCTTGAAAGCATTTCGCTTCTCATCCAAGAAGCTTCTTCGGTTCTGACTTCGGTTCGAACGTCTTCAGTTAGAACAGAAGGAGCTTCTAGGCTGAGAAGTGAAACCTTTTCAAGGGGAAAAAAAAAAAAACCTCAAGAAAATCCAGTTGCCTTTTGGAAATGCACCTTTGGGACAAGCATGATGTTGGAGAATCTGCACAGACAGATGTTTGGGTAGATCAGCTCAAACACCAACCATCTCATCTGGATTCAGTTAGTTCTAGATTAGTTCTAGATTAGTTAGTTCTAGAACCTTAGTTCTAGAGAGGCTTGCACACCTGGGACTCCGGGGCTACTCACCTTACCACAAACGTCGTTGACGGATATGTGAACGAAGACGGAAGCTTCCTCCATACCTTCTAGGTATACATGTCGATAGCCTGGAAATAAGGAAAGCGGGGTGAATGATGGCTTCTCGTCTCCTTTAGTCAGGGGTGGGATTCAGCCGGTTTCGGGCAAACCGGATGCTAACTTTACATCTGGTTCGCCGAACCGGTAGTTGCGAGGATTGGCTGGCCCCGCCCACCCTGTCCGTCCCCTCCCAGGAGTCTCCACGCGGTGTAAGTAAGTGCAGGGCCCGCGCGGAGGATCTGGGAGGGGAAAAAACAGGCCTCACGGAAGTTCCGGAAACGGGTTCATTCGGAGGCCCGGGGGAGGTTGTTTTTGCCCTCCCAGAGTCTCGAGGAAAAGCTCCGGAGCCTGGGGAGGGCGGAAAATGGGCCTACCGGAAGTCTGGAAACGAGACTGTTTCCAGCCACCGGAGGGCCTCCAGGGCCCAGGGGAGGCTCAAGGAAAGCCTCTGGAAATGACCCCTCCCTCGCCTTGGTGCAGGAATCTGAGTAGGCCACGCCCCCATGGCCACGCCCCTCCCCCAGCAACTGGGCAGAGAACCGGTTGCTAAAATGGAGTTAGCGGAGATGGATGGCCAAATGGACTGCTTTGATCCAAGGGAGGGGGAAACACCACAACTATTTTCGTTTCTACTTGGAAACCGTTTCTGGACTTTGTGCTTGAGGTGGCAAAAAAAATAAATAAATAAAAATGAAACGTTGATTTTGGGTTTTACCGATTACTAGGTTTGTTGTTAGAGAAATGGCTACCGTAGTTTATATTATTATGGAAATTATGTTTATGTAAAAGTTGAGGTTGGATGCGCTCTTATTCCACTTCACCGAAGGGAGTCGGAAGTCAATGCCTTTGTTTCGTTTTTCCCTTCTTTTCTATACTTTCCCCTCCTTCTTTCCTTACTATTTTCTTTTGCATTTTATAGTATAAATTAATAAAGAAAGAAAAACACAAATTAAAAAAAAAAGAACCCTCGGGGACCCAAAACTACTTGGAGGGATGTTGCAGCCAGGCAGTGTCGGCATTAGCAAGATGGATCTCGCAAGTTTCCAGATGTTTAATTTATTGCCATTCTTCTTTCATATCCCGCTAGCACATTGCATCTGTCAGTGGAGCATCCTTGGTTGAATTCAGCTTCAGCTTCTTTCTCTCTCTCTCCCTCTCTAGTTATCAAAGAATGGAGCCCCTGCTGACAATCACAACTTTTCTAATTGATTTGCCGGCTCTCCCCCCTGGAAGCCATCCGGATTGTCATAATTCACGTTGTCTTTTGTTCGTGCTTCTCTTTCAAAGCCACAGAGGGCTCCCGCTCCCCCTTTTCTTCTGAAAAACTTTTCCCCGCAGCTCTGAAGTGAATGAAGAAGGAAGGACAGGGGGATAGATGGAAAAACTCTGTGTGTGTGTGTTATCTGAGCTAGGAAGACCCCGGCGGATGTGCACGCACTCACGTGACCCAAAGGAGAGAAGGAATGGATTGGGGGGGGAGGTGAGATTAATGCATAACCCTCCCATTTTTGCAGGCTTCCCAAGAGCACGAAGCAGACTCCTTGTCCTGACAAAAAAAGCACTTTTTATTAAATTACTGTGAATTCCTCTCATTCGCATCCAGCAAAGTCTTTCAAGGGAGAATTTACAGTCGCAGATGTTATCTGCCAGGCCGATAGCTTCAAAACTTGGCAAGGAGTCACGAACCGATTAAGTGAACTAATTGTCTCCTGCAAACTCCCCTTTCGCTCCTCTTTTATTCCCTCTGGGAGGGGCCCTTCATCGTCCACCTGTGGCTTTACTCCTGAGTCGACCCTTGTTCTTCAGCTGTTCCCTTCGTCTGGCAGCTCTGCACATGCACACACTGGGAACAGGCTCCAGCTGTTTGTCTGCCTCACTGATGTCTGACTCTGAAGGCAGCTGATACCTATCATAACGGCCCTGGCCCCCTCTCTGCCTCCGACGCAGAGCCCTCATCAGAGCCCTCCCCAGACTCCAGGACTGGCCCATGTTCCTCCCCAACCTCCTCACTGTCCGAATCTGCTACCAGCTCCGCTGGCGGGCCACAACAGCAGGTATTAAAAGCAGCTGGCTTTTAACTGTCATTATCAGCATTAATTTTGCAGCCGATCTCGGGCTGCCAATGAAAATGACAGCCTCGTTTGAAGGCCAAAAACTAAAATAAAAAAAAATAAAAATGAACGCCCACGTTTTGAAGTTTCGATCCGGGGATAAGCCAAAGGAACATTGGCAGAGACATCCAGAGAAACGACTTTAGTTGTGATTGGCAGGAGGGAAAACAGGATGACATCCGTGGTCCTTTTTGCTGTGGCTTCCACTAACGTCTGATGTTCAAAGGACTAACTTTCGAGCTTTCAAGCGAGATTTTTTTTATTTTTTCTCTTCGCGTTCCCCCCGAGAGGAATGCCAGCTTGAAAGGAGGATTTGGGGGCCACCCCCCACCAACCCACAGATTTTTCCCTTTAATGTCTTGGTTCGTACCTACCTGAAACGGGCGAATTCTTCAGAGCCGGAATATCAGTGGGGAAATGCAAGGGGGGGGAGAAAATAAGCAATGCTGTATGAGCAGGTCTCTTCTTACCTGGCAGCATGGATGTAAAGGCGATCGTCCTCTGGCCGATAAAATCCCTCCCGATGGGATCGTGGTCCCAGACCAGGAAACGCACCAGGGCAATCTCTGGCATGCCAATGTTGAAAACCAAGGTTTCTTCCCACATCGGATTGAAACCTGCAGAACCAAGGAGGCAGGAGAAATGAATGAGCATTACCGACTGACCAGGGTTTCTCTGCCTTGGCGAGGGCTGGGCTTCAACTCCCAGCCAGCTGCCGAGAGGTATGTGTGGACTTCAACTCCCAGAATTCCCCAGTCATCCATACGTATAGATTCCATAAACAGGAGGGGGATTGACTTACTCTTCAAAGCACTGGTAGGCATTGAGCAAGGGTGTCAAACTCAATTTCAATGAGGGCTGCATCAGGGCTGTGGGCCGGGGGAGGGGGGGCTTGGCCAACTGGGTGGGTGTGGCTAACTGAGTGGGCGTGGCCAGCTTGACACCACTCCCCAAACAGCTGGCAATGCGACGTTTCCTCTTCGCATTGGGTAGACTGGGCCGAAGAGATGCAGGCCGGCCCCTTATAATATTTGAAGGGAGGGATCCATCCAGGGGTGAAATGCTACCGGTTCAGGCCGGTTCACCCGAACCGGTAGTAAAAAATGCTACCGGTTTGACTGAACCGGTAGTTAAAAAATGCTTTAAAAAAGTAAAAAATAAATAAATAAATAATAAATTCCGACGATGGCACGGCACAGCTGATTGGCACAGCTGATCGTCGGAACTTTTTTTAAAAAAATTTTTTTAAAAGAATTTTTTTTACTACCTATTAGCTCGAACTGGTAGTAAAAAAAAATGCTTTAAAAAAGTAAAAGAAAAGGTTCTGCGATCGTCTGAACTTTTAAAAAACTTTTAACGCTAAAAAAGTTAAAAATGTTGGCCACGCCCACCCAGTCACATGACACCCCCCCAACCAAGCCACGCCCACCGAACCGGTAGGGAAAATTTTGAATTTCACCACTGGATCCAACCACATCACGGGCCGGAGTTTGACACCCCTGATGTGGGTTGGAAGGGATCTTGGAGGTCTTCTAGTCCAACCCCCTGCTCAACCCTAGACCATTTCCGACAAATGGCTGTCCAGTCTCTTTTTGGAAGCCTTCAAATTCTGTTCCACTGATTAATTGTTCCCACTTTCAGGAAATTTCTCCTTAGTTCTAGGTTGCTTCACTCCTTGGTTAGTTTCCATCCCTTGTTTCTTGTCTTGCCTTTTGATGCTTTTGAGAATCGTTTGACTGGAAATTAATCAAAGAGAGGAGCAACCTGGAATTAAGGGGAAACTTACTAACAGTGAGGACAATTAACCAGTGGATCTGCTTGCCAGCAGCAGTTCTGGGTGCTCCATCGCTGGAGGTTTTTAAGAAAAGACTGGGCAGCCATTTGTCTGAAATCGTATAGGGCCAGGATGGCAAACAGGTGGCACACGGAGCCATATCTGTGGGCACGCAAGCATTGCCCTAGCTCAGCTCCAGCACGCATGTGTGCGCTGGCCAGATGATTTTTGGACCTTCCAGAAGTCAGGAAACGGGCTGTTTCCAGCCTCCGGAGGGCCTCTGGGGGAAGGGGGAGGCTGTTTTCGCCCTCCCCAGGCGCCAAGAAAGTCTCTGGAGCCTGGGGAGAGCAAAAAACGGGCCCATCATGCCATTACGTGCCAAAAGCGGAGGGAGTGCGGGGTCGATGGGTTGCGTGTATGCACAGTGTGGGCACGTGTATGTGTGAGCCCCCGGCACGACCCCCCACTTTTGGCACGCAACAGCAAAAAGGTTAGCGATCACTGGTCTAGGGCCTCCTGCCTTCCGGCTCTATTCTGATTGATTGACTTATGGCCTTCTGCCCCTCTCTTTTGTCACCGCCATATATACTTCCAAGCACCCTGAGATGCTGCTTTCGAATCAACATTAAGAGGAACTTCCAGAAACAAACAAAAAGAAAGAAAGAAAGAAAGAAAGAAAGAAAGAAAGACAAAGCAAACAATGAAAAAAGGGCACTTTTTATTTGTCTTTGTTTTGTCTCTTTCTGTCTCTTTTTGTTTCTCTTTAAACAGTTTGGAGTTTTGTATTTTTGGGAGTTAAAATCAAAACATGAAGTGGGGGGAAAGAAAACATTAGGAGGAACTTTCCGAAAGAAACAAACGAATGTCCTAGTTTCCGAAAACAAACTAGGACATGGGGGGGAAAAAAAGTGTATTTTTAATGTCTTGTTTGTTTTGTTTCTGTTTAAAAAAAGAGTTCTGGATTATGTGTTTTTTTGGAGTGAAATATGAAGTGGGGAAAAAAAAACCTTTCTTGAGGCAATCAGCTGTTCTAACACGGAAGCAAAATTGCTTGGAAGTTGTCAGGTGGTCACAATTCCCCGAGCAGATGCTAGACAGCTAACCGTCAATGACGCTACGCAGACACGGATAGCGACTAGATTAAATGAATTTATCGAGGCTTTTGTTTCATTCATCCTAGGGATTCTAGGAATAACTGCAAGATGTCCTACAGGGATGGCAGGAAAGAGAGAGTAAAAATTAAGGACGGAAAAGCCGTACCGTTGTCGTCCACAACTCTGGTCTGCTCTTTGCAACAATCCATGGGCAATCCGATCACCTCGACTTCCACGAACGGATCTATGATCTGGAAAAGAGGTGAAATAAATAAAATAGGAAAATGACACCAAGCGAAGCTGAACTGCGGCGTCTTTCCTCAACTTGATGGCTTTCTTGGTGGGCCGTTAAAATCTTAATTAATTGACTTAAGAGAGACATTAATGGATGGTTCTCTTAAGATCTGAGAAGGGACCTTTTCCCACATCTGCTACCCATTTGATCTGGAGATGGTGAAATGCTACTGGTTCAGGGCGGTTCGCCCGAACCGGTAGTGAAAATGCTACCGGTTCGTTCGCCCGAACCTGTATTAAAAAAATACTTTAAAAAGTAAAAAAAAAAAAAAAAACATTCCGAGGATCGTGCGGCACAGCTGATCCTTGGAACTTTTAAAAAACTTTTTAAAAGCATTTTTTTACTACCGGTTTGGGCAATAGGTAGTTAAAAACTGCTAAAAAAAAAAAAAAGTAAAAATAGAGCTTCCGACAACCAGCTGTGACAATCAGCGCGCGATCCTCAAACTTTTTTTAAAAAAACTTTTTAAAGCATTTTTTTTATTACCTCTTGCCCAAACCGGTATTTTTGTGTAAAGTGTGATAGTTTGCTTTTTGAGCTCTCTGTGACTCTGTGAGGTTCCTGCTTGTTGCAGGGGCCTTTTTGTGTGAAGTCCAGCTGCTTTTGCATTGTGTGTGAGTCAGTTATTGTAGCTTTTGTGTTATTTTTGTGTAAAGAGTGATAGTTGGTTTTTGAGCTCTCTGTGACTCTGTGAGGTTCCTGCTTGTTGCACTATAGACTTGGACAAAGGGCAAAAACTTTGGGAAAGAAACTGTAAGTTGACAATGGCAAGGAAAATCGATATAAAATGTTTTATACCACCGGCGAGACTAGCAAAGGTGTTTAAAAACATATTGGCCAGAGGTCGGAAATGTAATCAGACACCGGGTACGTATTACTACATGTGGTGGACATGTGCAAAAGCAAAGAAATATTGGACAAAAATACATACATGGTTAGAATTTTTCCCCCTGAACACCATCACTCTGCTAAACAAATAATTCCTTCAACCGGGGAAACTGGTAGCGTCATTGGCGGGAGGCTCCGCCCACCCGCCCGGACATCATCACGCGGCGCTTCTGTGCAGAAGCGCCGCGAGCAAGCGAAGCGAGTGCATGCACGCGCTCACAGTTCTGAACTGGTAGCGAGGGTAAGAATAGAATAGAATAGAATAGAATAGAATAGAATAGAATAGAATAGAATAGAATAGAATAGAATAGAATACATGGAATGGAATGGAATGGAGTGGAGTGGAGTGGAGTGGAGTGGAGTAGAGTAGAGTAGGGTAGAGTAGAGTAGAGTAGGGTAGAGTAGAGTAGGGTAGAGTAGGGTAGGGTAGGGTAGGGTAAAGTAGAGTAGAGTAGAGTAGGGTAGGGTAGGGTAGGGTAGGGTAGGGTAGAGTAGCGTAGTGTAGCGTAGCATAGAATAGAATAGAATAGATTTTTTTATTGGCCAAGTGTGATTGGACACACAAGGAATTTGTCTTGGTGCATAAGCTCTCAGTGTACATAAAAGAAAAGAAATTCACTACTGAGATGGTTGGATCACAGAAGTCGAAATTAGGAGCTGGGAAGGCATTATTATGTAAGCAAATGGATCCAGACAATAGGCTGTTCACAAAGCACTTACGTGTGTAAACTGGTATAAATAAATGGCTTAAAAAAATACTTTTGTTTGCATCGACTTGCAGATGAGAAAAGAATTAATAGAGTAGAATAACAGAGTTGGAAGGGACCACGGAGGTCTTCTAGTCCAACCCTCCTGCTTTTTGACGGCGTCGGAAGTTTATTTGGATCCACGACAACACATCGTCGCATACGTGTTATGGCGTGCCGGTCCCCATCTTTCTTTGCTACTCAAACTAGGGGGGGGGGGCTCCGAAAGCGAGAAAGGATGATTGAAGATTGAACTCAATGCTATTTTTTTTTTTTTACCCTGGAGAGGCCAATTAATGGCCGGGGAGAAAAAAACCACCCACAAGGATTACGGCGGAGCTCCCAATTAAAAAAACAAAACAACAACAAAAAACAACAACACCCAACCCTTTGCTCGAAGGCCAAATAAATCCTGCTGAAGGGAGGGGGTTGAAAGAGGGAAGACGGGGGGGGGGGAAGAAAAATTTGGAGCAGCGCCCCCCCCCCCCGCCGTTCCAACAGGGCTCCCGTCCAAAGGAAGCCATCGGTCTTGGCTGCTGACAACTCAACGGCTTAATGTTGTTTTACATTAAGGGAGATTCGGGGTCTGTTTGGCTGGGAGGTTTATTGATTTATTTATTTAGCAGTGTCCGTCCCACCCCGCCCCGCCCTCCCCACATCCTCCCATCACCCCACCACCCCGCCTGCTCCTTCCAAGCAGGCCTGGTGAATAGAAGGCCTGTCAATTTGATGGAGGGTCTTGGCAGATCTTTCCTGACCCCCCCCCCAGCCCCCCAGAGGCACCCTGGGGACAATAAAGCCAATTCGGTTCTTTTTTTTTCTCCCCCCGCACAAAGAGAACTGGCCAAGCACCTGCTAAACCTCTCCAGGGGAAGGAACGGGTTGCGTAATCGTTCTTTAAAAAAAAAAGAAAAAGAAAAAGAACGGGGAAAAAAAAACCCCGAGGCTGCATGATGGATCTTGTAGTGGTCATAAGGGGGTGGGGCGTTAAAGCCCAGCTTGCAAACAAACCCGCTTTCTTGGGGGGAAAAGAAAAAAGAAAGGGGAAAAAAAAAAGCCAACCAATCAGAATAGAGCTAGGAGGAACCTTAGAGGTCTTCTAGTCCAACTCCCTGCTCAGACATGAGCCCCTAGACCAATGATGGCTAATCTTTTTTGCCGTGTGCCAAAAGTGGGGGGAGCACGGGGGGGGGTCGCACACGTGTGTGCCCACACCCATAATTCAATGCCCCCCGTGCCCCCCCCCGCACGGGCACGGAAACCCCCCCACACTCCACACCGCTTTTGGCATGCGGCGGCAAAAAGATTACCGGTGGGCCTGGTTTGCCCGATTTTTACCCTCTTCAGGCTCCAGACGCTTTCTTGGAGCCTGGGGAGGGCAAAAACAGTCTTCCCCACCCTCCCGGAGACTGGAAACGGCCCGTTTCCTGACTTCCAGTGGGACTGGAAGGCCTGTTTTTCGCTCTCCCCAGGCTCCATCCATCCATCCATCCATCCATCCATCCATCCATCCATCCATCCATCCATCTATCCATCCATCCATCCATCTATCCTATCTATCTATCTATCCATTTTTCTATCATTTCTCTTATCTAGTTTTCTACCTATCATTTTTCTCTCTTATCTAGTTTGCTTGCTATCTATCCATCCATCCATCCATCCATCCATCCATCCATCCATCCATCCATCCATCCATCCATCCATTTATCTATCATTTCTCTTATCTAGTTTTCTACCTATCATTTCTCTCTCTTATCTGGTTTGTTTGCTATCCATCCATCCATCCATCCATCCATCCATCCATCCATCCATCCATCCATTTACCTATCATTTCTCTTATCTAGTTTTCTACCTATCATTTCTCTCTCTTATCTAGTTTGTTTGCTATCCATCCATCCATCCATCCATCCATCCATCCATCCATCCATTTATCTATCATTTCTCTTATCTAGTTTTCTACCTATGATTTCTCTCTCTTATCTAGTTTGCTTGCTATCCATCCATCCATCCATCCATCCATCCATCCATCCATCCATCTATCTATCTATCTATCTATCATCTATCTATCTATCTATCTATCTATCTATCTATCTATCTATCTATCATCTCTCTAACAACAACAAAAGTCGGAGTTGTTTCCCGTGGACGAGAGTAAAGCAGCCAGTCTCGTCATCCGCTACAGGTAATTCAGTTCATTTAGTGACCGTTCAAAGTTATACGGCGGCCCTGAAAAAAAACGGGGGCTTACCTCGCCTCGGTCTCCAAGCATCGAATCGCGAGGTTTCGGGAGCTGCTGTCCACTGATGATCCTTAAGACGAGTTGCTTTTTCATCTGGCCGGCCAGCGGATCTTCGGAATTGGGGTTGAAGATCCCTGGAAGAGATTGACAGAAGGGGTGCATAGTAGAAAGGTCGGGCGGGAGTGGACCCACATTTCATGTAGGTTTACACGTGAGGTTTGCATACTACAGGAGGATGCTGGGAGAATGAAGAGATGCTCCCTGTGAAGCGCAACAAGGAATTTCAACTCCCAGAATTCCCCACGGTTGAGAAACCCTGGAAGAGAGTCTCCTGGGAGAAGGCCGTGAGACAGACTCCTTACCTTGACACATGCACTTGGGTTTGAGGATGTAGCCGCAATTCCCGTTGGCGCTGAACTTGGCACGGTTGAGCTGCAGCATCCTCCCTTCCGATTGGTAGTTCAGCGCCACTGCAACGGACGGAAAAAAGGGAAATGTAGGGAGCCGAGCAGAGTCAGCCTGCAATACTGCGTTCTTACCACTGAGCCGTGGGGGCGCAGCAGTCAGAATGCAGGATCGCAGGCTGACTCTGCCAACTGCCAGGAGTTCGATCCTCGACAGGCTCAAGGTTGACTCAGCCTTCTGTCCTTCTGAGGTCGTTAAAACGAGGACCCAGATTATTGGGGGCAGTAGGCTGACTCTGTAAACCGCTTAGAGAGGGCTGTAAAGCACTGTGAAGTGGAATATAAGTCTAAGTGTTATTGCTATTGCTAAATAACTGAGAAATGAAACTATAAGTGGCAAATTCTGATCCAGACATTTTGGAAAGCATTTCTCCCTTCCTTCTATTTATCTATTTATCATCTATCTATCTATCTATCTATCTATCTATCTATCTATCTATCTATCATGTACAATATCTATCATCTCTATCTATCTATCTATCTATCTATCTATCTATCTATCTATCTATCTATTTTTCTATCCATCCATCCATCCATCCATCCACCATCCATGTACAATATCTATCATCTCTCTCTCTCTTCTATCTACAATATCTATTATCTCTTTCTCTCTCTTCTATCTACAATATCTATCTATCTATCTATCTATCTATCTATCTATCTATCTATCTATCCACCTACCTACCTATCCATCCATCCTTCTGTCTACGTATAATATCTACCACTTCTATCTACAATATCTATCTATCATCAGTCTTTCTCTCTCTCTCTCTACAATATCTATTTATCTATCTGTCTGTCTGTCTACCCAGCCACCCACGCATTATGTCTACATACAATACCTATAATCTCTCTCTTCTATCTATAATATCTCCTATCTATCTATCTATCTATCTATCTATCTATCTATCTATAAAAAAGCAAGTTTCCCCCCCAGAAAATTGGTATTGAGAGGGTTCCTGAGAAATAAAGAAAAGGGAGAGAAATGGTTTTCTTTTCATTCTCCACTGGCTAATTTTAAGAACTGGGCTAAAACCAGCAGCTGTGCGAATAAACAGAGAAGAGGGGCGGCAGGGGGTGGAACTGTTTTACAGTTTTCCTCCAGGACAAGTGGCCCCGACACGAATGCCTCCTTTCGCTTGGCTTCTGCACCCGCCATTTCCTTCTTCCTCCCTCCAAAGCACGGAGGGTAGAACCGAGGCACGGAAGCGTGAAGGGAAAAGTTGGTTTGGGGCGAAAGAACATCTGGGTTCCTTACCCAACTGGCAGCCGGCGTTCCAGAAAGGCTGAGGGTTGTAATTGCTGGAATCCACCCGGTAGGAAGAAGGGTAGATCCGGGAGAGCTGGTGCTGGTTGAAGCGGAGATACTGGGCTGGTTTTTGCTGGAGGATTTGGTGAGCTTTCGTTTCGCTGAAGGAGGAGACTTGCCAGCTGGAAGAAACTGGGACAAAGGAAGGCTGTTTTAGTCCCCCTCGGATGTCAACGTCTCCCTTATCTGGCCGCCTCTTCCCCACCGTATCTTCATTTACAGATAGTCTCAACTTAGTTGAGTTGGACATCAGTGAGGCAGATGAACAGATGGAGCCTGTTCCCAGTGTGTGCAGGCGCAGAGTTGCCAGACGAAGGGAACAACTAAAGAACAAGGGTCGACTCAGGAGTAAAGCCACAGGTGGACGATGAATGGGAAATAAAAGAGGAGCAAAAGGGGAGTGGAGTTTGCAGGAGACAATTACTTCGCCTAATTGGTTCGTGACTCTCAGAGACTCCTTGCCAAGTTTTGAAGATATCGGCCTGGCAGCTCTCCAAGACAGATAAAGTCTGTGACTGTAAATCCTCCCTTGAAAGACTTCGCTGGAGGTGAACGAGAGGAATTCACAGTAACTTAATAAAAAGGGTTTTTTATCGGGACAAGGAATCTGCTTCATGCTCTTGGGAAGCCTAAATCGGAACACTAGGATTGCGTTAGCTTTTTTGGCAACTGCAGCACACTCCTGCCTCATAATCCGCCGTTAAAAATGGCTTCCAAGTTACCTGGGAAATCTTTGTAGGAATTGGGCCATGGAGCAATGATCTTCTGCCTGACTGGCCAACCCAAACAGCTTTGAGTAAAAGCCTGGGTGGGGAACACAGAACGCAGCTTCGAAAGAAAGACTGCCAGAACGTTAATTCTTTTTTAAGATGGTAGGCAAACTTACTTTCCGATTCCACGTCGTGGATTCCGACGGATCTAGTGTATTTCACCAGATCCGAGAGAGCCCGGGAGAGTTTCATCGTTTTCTTTTGCCGATTTGTTCTGGTAGGAGAAAAAACAACAACGAGGTAACTGTTTTGGCCTGTCGGCCGTCGGCCCCTCCAGCACCTGAAGCCGACAAAGAGTTTGGAATTTTGCAGGGAGGAGCAAATGTCAAGGCGAAATATCCACCTGGCTCTTCTTGCTTAACAAACCAAGAATCCATGTCACTGGTTTTGTATTAAAGTTACGTGGTTTAAGTTCAAGATTTTACAGAAATTTAGAAATAGGAACAACCAGCATGGGAAAAAAATCCCGACTGAAACCCGGAAGCAACTCCGCACCTAAAAAATGAACTCCGATTTGAATTTGAATTTTTGCAGCCAATGGCTGCTTTCCCTCTTTATTAGCGTGCATTTGAAGTGACAATCAAGTTATTCTAAGTTCTAAACAGCAGCGAAGCTGAATCCGTTAGATACAGGCAGTCCTCGACTTACAAAAGTTCGCTTAGTGACCCTTCGAAGTTATGACACCACTGGGAAAAAAGGGGACTGTCCTTCACACTTACGACCGATGGTCATGTGATAAAAATTCAGATGCTTGGCAACTGGCATGTACTTATGACGGTTTGCAGTGTCCTGGGGTCACGTGATCCCCCTTTTGTGACCAAAGTCAAGGATTCCCTTAACAACTTGCAGGGACTCATTTAACAACCGTTCAACAAGTAAGGTCGTACAATGGGGCAAGACTCGCTTAACAAATGTCTCCCTCAGCAACAGAGATTTGGGGCTCAACTGCGGTCATTAAGTCAAGGGCGACTTGTATAAAGACGCAAGTCAGTATTTTTTTTGGGGGGGGGGGGTTAAAGATTCTTTTTTCTGAAACCGTTGAAACTTACTTGCTATAATGGACAGAGGTTCTAGTTAGGTTTCCTTGGCATTCAAAGTCGTCTTCTCCATCTTCCAAACTCGGGGTCCTTTTGAGTTTGCTGGATTTTTTCTGGGTTAGAAAAAAAACAAAACTTGTTTTCTCCCATCTATTCTCTTATCTATTTTATTTCGGTATCCTTATTCGTATTTCTTTTCTGACCAATTTATCAATTGTTCCTCATTTATGATTAATGATTGTAACTACGATTATGAATTATGACTTGATGTTTAGATGTACACTACGATCTTATGCGCCGGAGACAAATTCCTGGTGTGTCCGATCACACTTGGCCAATAAAGAATGTTACCCTAAAAATTATTCCAGACCCTCCCTCCGAGAAACAATTGAGTAACCTTGCGTTTGGTTAAGCTTCCCATCAGGGATCGGTTGTGACGTTTGCTGAGGATGGCGTCTTCACCGGATTCCAGGTTTTCCTCGTGCTTGTTCTGCGGGGGACCAAAAAACAGACAGCGAGATGCACAGGGTGATCAGGGATCGGTCACTAAGTGAATTGTTGTTAAGTCGAGAGCTACTTGTATTTCCACTCTTAAATGAAACTCAAGAAAGCTAATTTTCCTCTTAATCCCTTTGCTTTCCCCAACTAAGGACTAATTTTTAAAGCAGTCACAAGTTTGGTCCAGTCACTTTCCCCCATAATTTTTGGCAGCTGGATTTTATTTATTTATTTATTTTATTAAATTTCTATACCGCCCTTCTCCCGAAGGACTCAGGGCGGTGAACAGCCAGAAGATAAAACACAGAGATACAAAATTTAAAATAGATTAAAACGAATTAAATAATTTGGCTGAATTTTAAAATACCCCATAATTAAACAGATTAAAATTTGTATTTAAAATTTAAATTTAAAAGAGGAGAAGATTTAGGATTTTTGTGGGTTTCTCTCCCTCTCTCCCTCTCTCTCTCACACACACATTTTTGGCAGCTGGATTTTTCTGGGTTTCTCTCTCTCTCTCCCTCTCTCTCCCTCTCACACACATACACACATTTTAGCAGCTGGATTTTTGTGGCTTTCTCTCTCTCTCCCTCTCCCCCCCTCTTTTAAAGGGATCAATGCATTTTCTGCTCACGGTGTAGCACATTTAAGGCAGGCAGGAGCCCCCCCCCCAAAAAAATTGGTTTCTTATCCATTTTTTTTAGCTCTGTCACCCTCTCCAACCCTTCTTCCAAAATGTCAGCAAATCCTCCGCAAAATGTTTTACGTAGGACCACTTTTCTAGCGGCCCCAGTCCCTGATGAAGGGCTCTTAAAAGAGACAGAGAGAGACAGAGAGAGAGAGAGAGAAAGAGAGAGAGAAAGAGAGAGAGAGAGAGAGAGAGCGAGAGCGAGAGAGAAAGGAAAAAGCAGGACTGGTGATCATAATTGTCAACCCTTCGTCTTTCTGAGGGTGTAAGAAATCCGGCAATTATTTCGAAATTAATATATGAAGGAGTTAGAGAAAGGGAGGAGGGGAGCTTCTTCATAAAAACTCAAGAGTTCTGAAAAATGAGATTGCAAAAACGGCGTGCAAACCACCTGTGCGTATCTCGCGTTTCCCCCCCACCCTCGCTGGTGGCCCCTGACAAGAGCATTGTGCTTCCTCAAAATTTCACTCACCTGCTTTCCTCATTAATGGTGTGCGCTCAGCTATGACAGGCAGAAATCGTTAATAAACCATTTAAGCAAAAAAGAAAAAAAAAAAGGCTAATGAAACCCCAGCCAAGATGGCTGCGGAAAAGGCCACCCCGCTCTCGCTTCGATTTCAAAAATGCTTGCAAATTTGATTTCTATATAGATCAACCTTCCTGCTGCAACGGGCACGATGAACAGAGGATGAGTGGCGGGGGAGCAGGGGAAAGAAAGGAGGAGACCAAATTAAAACCTCATTTCAGGAAAGGTAGAACGAAGAAGGTGGGGGGGGGGGGAAAGGAGGAGAATTGTCCTCGGCGGGGCAAAAAGCTGGAAGGAAAGGAGGGAGAAGCGAGATCCTAACAGTTCGCCACGATCCTAACGGTTTGTTCTGGATTAGCTCAAGATCGCGTGAAGTGTTAAGACCACTTTGTAACGCTTTGGTAAGGCCACACTTGGAGTACTGCATCCAGTTTTGGTCGCCATGATGTAAAAAAAGATGTGGAGACTCTAGAAAGAGTGCAGAGAAGAGCCACGAAGAGGATTAGGGGACTGGAGGCTAAAACATATGAAGAACGGTTGCAGGAACTGGGTTATGTCTAGTTTAATGAAAAGGAAGACTAGGGGAGACATGATAGCAGTGCTCCAATATCTCAGGGGCTGCCCCAAAGAAGAGGGAGTCAAGCTGTTCTCCAAAGCTTCTGAAGGTAGAACAAGAAGCAACGAGTGGAAACTAATCAAGGAGAGAAGCAACTTAGAACTAAGGAGGAATTTCCTGACAGTGAGAACAATTAACCAGTGGAACACCTTGCCTCCAGAAGTTGTGAATGCTCCAACACTGGAAGTTTTAAGAAGAAGTTGGATAACCACTGGTGTAGAGTTTCCCGCCTAAGCAGGGGGTTGGACTAGAAGACCTCCAAGCTCCCTTCCAACTCTGTTATTCTGTCTCCGTAATGTTGCTAGGCCTTGTTCCTGAACTTACGGCCCCCGTTCAGCAGTCCTTGCTTAGCCAGCCAGAGGCTGCCATCTGTCTCCTGGACAGTGATATTAATGACTTAGGAGAGAAGGAACGAGTTTGGTTCTCCACGCCTCGTTGTCCCCGCATGTTGGATGGCACACGGACGCACAAGACGAATGTGAAATCTAAGCGGGCGGTAAATATTTATCATGATTACAGGGGAAAAACCCACCCCTCAAAAAATCCCCTCATTAGCTGTTCGTCGCTCAACTTTCCTTGCAGAGGAAAAAGAGGCCACGCTGGTGATCAGTCAGGATTAAGCGTGATTACATACCGAGCTTCGCTGCTCCGAAGAGGTTTATGAGGAATGATGAAAGGGGGTGTGTGTGTGTGTGTGTGAGAGAGAGAGAAGAAATATAGCTATCAAAAGACAAATTTGGCAAGGATTCATTGGAAGAAAGGAAACCGCCTATCCCAGGGTCCTGGGGGGTGGGGGGGGGAAACTTGGTTATCAACTGCAGTGATTCACTTAACAAGGAAGGAAGGAAGGAAAGTCATTAAATGGTGCCAACAGAGGTGGCATTCAGCCGGTTCGGGACGGTTCAGATCGGTTCGCCCGAACCGGTAGCGGAAATCAACTGCAGTGATTCACTTAACAAGGAAGGAAGGAAAGTCATGAAATGGTGCCAACAGAGGTGGCATTCAGCCGGTTCGGGACGGTTCAGATCAGTTCGCCTGAACCGGTAGTGGAAATCGCGGGTGGGCCCACCATCCGCCCTGCGCAGAAGGCGTGTGTGCCAGCGAAGCGAAGGCGCGGAAGGCCGGGCATGCGTGGGCGGGCTCATATTTGCAAACCGGTAGGGAAAGTAAGTGAATACCACCTCTGGGGGGGGGCAAAACCTGCTTAACAAATATCTCACTTAACAATGGATGTTTTGTGGAGGTCGTAAGTCGAGGTCTACTTGTATTGTATGTATGTTTTACCAAATGTTATCGTATTATTATTATTTTTGCAAAACTATGATGGTATGATTTATTCGTGTTTTATCGGTAAGCTTTTTCGGGATTGGCTCCCTCTGCCCCCATGCCTCCACCCCCCCCAACTCCAAAATCACCTTCTTAAGATCAGGCTTGTTCCCCAATTTCCCTGAGGACGACAAGGTGGTGACGGCAAAATTATTTTGGTCTTCGCAGTCCCGGATTTTAGATTCCTTGATCAGAGAGTCCAGTTTTTTCTTGGCGAGGTTTTCCACCCGTTTCCGATTAGAAGAAGCCTGGAAGCCAAAAAAATGTTATAAACTAGCAAAAATGCAGTTTCCCCCCTTGGTTTCTTTCCCAGCTGGTATTCAACACTAGTCCTTGACTTACAACAATTCATTTAGCAACTGCCCGTCGTTACAATGTCACTGGAAAAAGGGACTTGGGACTGGTTTTCCCACTTACGACCGTTGGCAGCATCCCCACGATCCCATGATAAAAATTCAGATGCTTGGCAGCTGACATGAATTTATGACGGTTGCAGTGTTCTGGGGTCATGAGATTCCTGTGACCAAAGTCAAGAAGGAAGTCAGATTCACTTAACAACCCGGGTTTCTGACTTCACAAGTGCGGTGATTCACTTAACAACAGTGGCAAGAAAGGTCGTAAAAGGAGGCGAAACTCACTTCACAGACGTCTCACTTAACAGCAGAAACTTCAGGGTTACTCACGTAACAACGGTTTTGCCTAGCAACAGAAATTTTGGGGTCTGTTGTGGTTGTAAGTTGAGAACTTAATAATAATAACTTTATTGTCATTGTACGTGGATACACACTATACCCATACAACGAAATTGCTCCTAGACACATTGCTCCTAGAAGCACGAAGCCGAAAACCCAACACACATAATAATCCCCAAACACACTCCCACCCACCACAATTCTCCACCCCTAAACCACCCAAACATCCACACAACAGACCAAGTCATGCTGTCCAACAGCTCACTGATGGTGGCCCTTTCGTTCATGGTTGAGTGCAATTATAGCTCTGGGATTAAAACTATTCAGAAAACGTGTGGTTCGAGTTTTAATTGTTCTGTATCTTCTGCCAGAAGGCAACAGTCCAAAAAGATTGTGAGCAGGATGGGAAGAGTCTCAGAGAATGTTGTGCAACTTTCTCAAACAGCGAGATTCGAAGATGTCATCCAGGGTTGGTAGCTGGAGCCCGATGATATTCTGGGCAGTTTTAATGATTCTCTGTAGAGCTACAGAGATGCTCCCGTACCATGCAAGAATGTCGTATGTCAGGATGCTCTTAATGGTGCGGCAATAGTAGGACAGAAGGAGATGCTGAGATCGATTTATCTTCCTGAGCATTCTCAGGAAGCACAGCCTCTTCTGTGCCTTCTTCGCAAGCATGTCAGCATTCATAGTCCATGAGACGTCCTCCGAGATATAAATGCCCAGAAAACTACCAACTCTCTCCACCTCCTCGCCATTTATGTACAATGGTAGATGTACATCTCTCTTCCTCCTGAAGTCAATTATAAGTTCTTTAGTTTTTGGATGTTAAGCGTGAGATTATTTTCTTTACACAACAATGTCAGCCTTCCTGTAAGCAGACTTAAGTGAACTAAAGAAGGAAAGCATGAAGCGCATGAAGCCAAAAGTGAATTTAATCACATCTTCTCTCGACAGACTATTATACGGTCTCATGTTTATATTATACAGGTATTATTATGACCTAAATGCACTTCAAACATGACTTTGGTTTAACCAAGCAGCTAAAAAAAATCAATCACAATCACCGTGTTCCTTGAGTGACAAGCCTATGAATATTTGATTAGCTTGTTCCCAGATGTTTTTTCTCTTCAATTGTTTTTAGATTAGGCACAAGGAAAATGTCAGAAGAAATGAAGGCTGACGGCTTTGTCTCAAGAACTGTGCACTCAAAGGCCAGAAGATTTAAAAGGGTAAGGGGGTAGCAAAATTAATTTTCCCTCCGCAATTATGGGAGTAATTCAGAATTATTCTTGTTTGTGCAAAAGTTTTTCGGGAGGGTGGGGGGTGTCCGATAAAGGAGGATCATAGAACTCAATGAAAAGCGAACGTGCAGAAATATAAAGAGTTTAAAGATTTCAAATTTCTCCTCTCGCCTCGGTTGCTCTTCCTTAAGGCTACTCCAGTTTGTCTAAATTCTGCTTTTTTTTTAAATGCAGCACTCAGAACTGGGACAAATCATTCCTAGTCTCTGATTCAAACAATAAAGAAAACCGGGGAAAGTTTTCGGATGCCTCAATTTTGCTGAGACTGATATTCAGCCCTGTTCTTTTCTGCTGCTTTTGTGACGGATACTTTTGAAAATAGGGACACGCTATAATGGTGCATTATACAATACAGCTTACGGCCTGCGTCGTATTTTTTGCTCGGTTTTGCATCCTCTGTACTTTCCAAAGAGCCAAACTTCTGGTTCCTTAATTGGCCAAAGCACATGGCAAATAATGCTCTCAAAAAAACCAACAACAATATGTGTACTTTCTGTTTGCTTTTGGATGTACCCTTGGCGAATGTGACCAGCCATTCGCAGCTGGTCATCCAGATGCTGCTTGCGGAGGGGTTTAAAGAAAAAAAAAAAGAGAGAGAGAGACAAAACGAATTACTATCTAACGAAGATGGAGTTGGAGGAAAAAAGCGGAGCCATGATTTTACGGAGTGGAAAGTTGGGTCTCTGACAGAAAGCCGCTTAAAGAGACTAGAAGCATTTGAAAAGTGGATTTACAGGCGGCTGTTAGGTATACGTTGGGTTGACAAAAATCAGAAATGGGGAGGTGATAAGCCGCCTGGGAAAGGCAAGGGAAATCATCAAAACCGCTAAAAAAGCAAACGTTAGAATATTTCGGACCTGTGATGCGACACCCGGGAAAATACGGCATACTTCGCTTAACCTTCCAGGGAAAGATTAAAAGGAAACGAACTCCAGGCTGAAGAAGAAGGACATCATGGCTTCAAAATCCCCCCCAAAAAAGGGACTTGTTTGGACAGCATTTTTTAGTGCGGCTGTTGATAAAAATAGGATCGGCAAAATGATCGCCAATGTCTGATGATGGATATGGAAGAAGAAGAAGGAGGAGGAGGAAGAGGAGGAAGGAAATAGTAGAAGAGGAAGAAGAAGAAGAGGAAAAGGAAAAGGAAGAGGAAGAAGAAGAGGAGGAGGAGGAAGAAATAGTAGAAGAGGAAGAAGAAGAGGAGGAAAAGGAAGAGGAAGAAGAAGAAGAAGAAGAAGAGGAGGAAGAAATAGTAGAAGAGGAAGAAGAAGAGGAGGAAAAGGAAGAGGAAGAAGAAGAGGAGGAGGAGGAGGAAGAGGAAGAAATAGTAGAAGAAGAGAGGAGGAGGAGGAGGAGGAGAAGAAGGAGGAGGAGGAGGAGGAGGAGGAGGAGGAGGAGGAGGAGGAGGAGGAGGAGGAGGAGGAGGAGGAGAAAGTGAGAAGGTAGGAAGGAAGGAAGGAAAGAAGGAAGACAAGACTACAAAACACGGGAATTAAAGGTACTTTTTAAGCTTTAGGATATTAGACTGAAGGGGAGAAGGAAATTTCTCTCCCACCGTCGATGCTAAAAGTTGCTGTTCAAACTCAGCTGGAGGTACCCACAAAATACCCGCAGTGGGGACACTGCCAAGGATTCAATTAGATTTTTTTTTACGTTTTGCTACGCCTGAGCTGACACCTAGAAACAAGCAGTGTGTACCCAATAGATAAGCACCGATTTTGGGGTGGGGGGGGCAGAGGGGGAGCCATTGAGATGAGATTTTGGGGGCTGTTCCAGCTTTGGAAGGGAGGCGGGAGCTGTCCAAGGTACTGAAACATGTCAGGCGCTGTTCAGAAAATAAGATGAAATACAATAAGACGGAAATCTAGAGAAGCTGTTACTCCCGTTATCTTCCCGGTGAAAATTAATTCAGTTAACTGTCTCTCCTCCCTTATAATACAAGGGTTCTGGAAGGCTCTGTGGCTCCAAGATTGAACCCGGGTTCAAAACTCCCAAGAAGCTGTCAAAAATCGGATCCTGGTCTATCTCTTCACCCACGAATGTCATTGGATTTCCTCTTAGCCAAACTCTCCAAACAGAATCGGAACAAAACAGTTCAAATGGTTATTGTCAATTTTTTTTAAAGTAGAAAAGGAGGAGATTATGGTCCCTAATGCTTCCGATTTAATATTTCGAGGCCTAACGTCCTGCCCCACGTTTCCCGCCAACCGTTACCAGCGCAGACATGGTTTGGTAATAAGTTTAAAACTCCTTCTGTTGCATTGAAATATTAATTCATGATTAAACATTGATTTTAGAGAGATAAATTCTGCCTGCAAGAGTTGACTTTCACTCTGCTTTTCCACTTCAAAAGGACACAAAGAGCCAGGAAACAAAACAAAACAAAAAAAAGAGAGAGAGGGAAATAAAAAAGTGGAACACTGGAATAACAAAGGGCTGCTCGCTGAATTAACGATTTCTTCCATCTATGTGGGTCAAGGAAAAATGTAGCCCTAAAATGTTTTTCCTTAACGAAAACATAATGGCCCATCAAGATCAAGGGGGTAATTTTTCTCAGGATTATATAATTTGAAGTACAAGCACAAGGGAAACCCCTGGGGGAATAAATCAAATTTCCCAGCACATCAAAACCATGTAAAGGCGCTAATAAGGGCACACTCCTTGCTGCAAAATCCCTGCATTTTTTATTAACATGCCGTGTTCGACAGCTGTACTCAATATTTAGACTTGTCTTTATTTAGACTGGGATGTTTAATTCCACCTTGTCTTGCTCTGCTCTTTGAGGAAGTTTCTCAGCGGTAGGCAAAGCACCTGAATGAGTTCTCTTGTGGCCAAGACGCCGTTGTGTTGGACCAACGCATCACAGGTTGTCTTCTAATGGCACCGGCACAAAGGACGGTGCGGAAGGAAAGAAGGAGGGGAAAGGAGATAGGTTTGAGTTGTGCCTTTAAAATGCACACAGGTAAGCCCTCGACGTGCGACCACAATTGAGCCCAAAATTTCTGTTGCTAAGTGAGATGTTGGTTGAGTGAGTTTTGCTCCGTTTTACGACCTTTCTTGCCACTGGCAGGTGAATCGCTTTAGCTGTTAATAGAATAGAATAGAATAGAATAGAATAGAATAGAATAGAATAGAATAGAATAAGGAATAAATAGAATAGAAAAGAAAAGAAATAAGAATAGAATAGAAAATAGGATAGGATAGGATAGAATAGAATATATATAAAAGGATGGGACGGGACAGAACAGAACAGGTTAGAACAGAACATAATAGAATAAAACTTTATTGCCAAAACTTTATTATTTGGCTTCCCCATTGACTTTGCTAGTAAGAAGGCCGCAAAAAGCAGATCACATGACCCCAGGACAGTGTGACCGTCATAAATATGAATCAGTTGCCAAGCATCTGAATTAAAAAAAAATAAATTAAACCTTTATTGTTAAAAGTCCCATTTTTCAGTGCCAGAGAACAGATGTTTTAAACAAATATCTCGATAGAAACTGGAACATTCTTATGCTTCTAACAAAATATTCACCCAAAGCGTTTCTCCATCCTTCTCCTTCACCAGATCAACACTGATGCAGTTGGGTTTGGCCAACAAGACCCAACTCTACGTGCTAAGCCAGTCCGCCTTTCAATACTTACGTCCCCGTTCATTAGCTTGCAGTCATCGTCCATCTCATCGGCACTGTCCTCGTCGGACACTTCGCCTTCTTCGGCGTCTTCACTGATGTTGGCTGGAAGCTTTTTCCCCTAGGATGCAAAAAAACAAGTCATTAGGAGAGGAATAAATACCCAAGGCGTTCCCGTCGCTGTGCCAAAATCAAAGGAAGAATATGGAAGGGAGCTTGGAGGTCTTCTAGTCCGACCCCCTGCTTAGGCAGGAAACCCTGCACCACTTCAGACAAATGCTTATCCAATCTCTTCTTAAAAACTTCCAGTGTTGGAGCATTCACAACTTCTGGTGGCAAGTTGGTTAATTGTTCTCATTGTCAGGAAATTTCTCCTTAGTTCTTAAGTTGCTTCTCTCCTTGATGATTTTCCACCCGTTGCTTCTTGTCCTGCCTTCAGGTGCTTTGGAGAATAGCTTGACTCCCTCTTCTTTGGGGCAGCCCCTGAGATACTGGAACACTGCTATCATGTCTCCCCTAGTCCTTCTTTTCATTAAACTAGATATACCCAGTTCCTGCAACAGTTCTTCATATGTTTTAGTCTCCAGTCCCCTAATCCTCTTTGTGGCTCTTCTCTGCATTCTTTCTAGAGTCTCCACATCTTTTTGACATCGTGGCGGCCAAAACTGGATGCAGGATTCCAAGTGTGGCCTTACAAAGGCCTTATAAAGTGGTATCAACACTTCACGTGATCTTGATTCTATCCCTCTGTTGATGCAGTCCAGAACTGTGTTGGCTTTTTTAAGTAAAGATTAAATATTAAATAAAGATTAAATATAAAGGTAGTTTAAGAGGTACACTAAAACTCAAAGGCAATATATATATATATAGTTAAAGGAAGAAAAAGGAATGTAATTGTTATTTATATGTATATATGACTATTATTGATGCTGGAGCGCTGTAAAGACTGTAAATGTGATATAAAATGATGAAATGTGTTCAATAAAAATAATTTAAAAAAAGAAAAGAAAGAAACTAATTCCAAAGTGGCATCGGAAAACTGCTTTCATGGGATTGCCAAGGAAACGACAGAGGGGTGTCTGAGAAAGTCACTAAAAGAGTTTTTTTCCCCTTCATCTGCTCTTGAGGTCTGCACCAACCTGGCTTCGAATCTTGACCAAGCTGTTTTCTTTCTAGCTAAACCTCCCTCCATCTCGCCACGAAGAATCGGAGAGCTTCCAGCGGGGCAACGAGAGAGAGAGAGAGATTTATCGATCGATAATTCTCGCCACAAAAATCCCAGAAGGGGATTTAAGATTGATTGGTCGGCGCAAAAAAAAAAAAGCTGGACTCTCCGATAGGAAAGCTGAATTCGAAGCGTGGGTCAAAGCTGAGTGGAAGTGGATTGCTTTCGAGAGTCTCTCGACAAAGCTAGCCTTGATGTGCACCACTCCAAAAATCCAATCACTGAGAACTGGGCAGCTGCTACCGATTTTTCTAAAAACCTCTTTGCAGCGTTTAAAGCACAGAACCGAGAGTGGGAAAGTGGGGGAAAGAAAGAGAGGGCTTAATTAAAATAGTAAAGGTAAAGGTAAAGATTCCCCTGGCACATACGTGCTAGTCGTTCCCGACTCTAGGGGGCGGTGCTCATCTCCGTTTCAAAGCCGAAGAGCCAGCACTGTCCGAAGACGTCTCCGTGGTCATGTGGCCGGCATGACTCAATGCCAAAGGCGCACGGAACGCCGTTACCTTCCCACCAAAGGTGGTCCCTATTTTTCTACTTGCATTTTTTACCTGCTTTCGAACTGCTAGGTCGGCAGAAGCCGGGACGAGTCACGGGAGTTCACCCCGTTATGCGGCGCTAGGGATTCAAACCGCTGAACGGCTGACCTTTTGATCGACAAGTTTAGCGTCTTAGCCACTGAGCTACCGCATCCCTAACTAAAATAAAAATGTATTTATTTTGCTTAATCGTAGGTTTGGAAAGGAACTGAAGGGCAAAGGAATTAAAATTTAATTACAACCTCGTTTAGTTACTTTAACCTCCTGGAGAATGTCTGATTCAGCGACACAAGCAGCGGAATTTAAATGTCTGATTGAGGGTTGCCAATTGGTAAATCGAGTCTATCGGGAGTCCCCAAAATGTGGCAGTGTGGATGGCACAAAAGGCCACTGAATCTTCCAATCGGTTTGAAGCCTTGGGGGCACATCTAACTGAACCAGTGGCGAAGTTTCACTTGCAAGGGGCGACTTCATCTAATTAAAAATTTAAAAAAAATTAAATTAAATTGAATTAGACCTGACAGAAGCATAACTGTGGAAGAGAATTCTGTTTTTGCCTTCACTTTGGGTTCCCTGGTGACAAGGCAAGTTGCATTTTACCTATGAATGCCTCTCAGTGGTTCATACGCAGTTCAGAATAGTCCCTGCTAAATTTTTTTTTTTTAAACAGCATGTGTGCTCTGTGATGTGTGGCCCAGGGTGACGTGGTACGTGTCTGTTGGCATTTTTCGACAAAAAACAACTACTTGTGCTATTTAAATGGACCTTAAATGGGATTAGAGAGCCAGAGATGCCAGCCAAATCTGATCTGTGCCTAATTTTATCTTCGATTACCTTAACCAAGATTTTCCCCTTGAGACTCTCCGGGGAAGGCAGCTCGTTGGGATCCTTATTGTTGACTGTTGACAAATCCAGCTTGTCCCCCAAAATTTCAACCAGGTACTGGGCCATCTTCTTCTGCTGGGCAACACTGCAGTGGTTTTCGATGGACAAAATGACGGGGTATCTGAGCGGGGTGAGAAAAGACATGGACATGGACAAGAAACATTAAGACACAAAGTCTGCATTACTATTAATCTTCTCATCATTCCTATCACCCATCTCCTCCCACTTATGACTGCATGACTGTAACCTTGTTGCTGGTATCCTTACGATTTATATTGACTGTTTCCTAATATGATGTAATTGCTTATTTCTTCCCTATGACTATCATTAAGTGTTATACCTTATGATTCTTGAGGAACGTATCTTTTCTTTTATGTACACTGAGAGCGTATGCATCAAGAGAAATTCCATGTGTATCCAGATTTTCAACTGGGCTTTCTGGTTTTTCTCCGAAGACGTTTCGCTTCTCATGCGGGAAGCTTCTTCAGAACTGAAGTTTCACGTCTTCGGAGAAAAACAAAACGGAGCGGAAGAAGCTTCTTGGATGAGAAGCGAAATGTCTTCAGAGACAAGTCCAGTTGCCTCTTGAAAAAGCACCTTTATTTCCAACTCCATCCCCCTTTGCCGCCCTTTGAAATGAAGACGCAAATAGCAAAGTAAAGGAATGAACGTCATTGAGCATCTAGTCCTCAAGATGGCAAAGCACCTACTCGCTTTTGATGAAGGCGTATTTGTTGATGGTCTCGATCACATCTTTGAAGAGGATCTTGGAGGTCAGGGTGTAGCCGTGGTGGACAATAGGTTCGCCGTCTGGACCGTCCCAGCAGTCAACTAGAAAAGGGAAAATTAGACGCTGGGGATGTTAGACCGGTGTCATGTGTTTTGGTATGTATTTTGCTGCCTGGAACCCCAAATCACGCAGGAAAGTACATCTTCGGGGGTTTAAGATGCCAGCTTTCAAAACTGCCAATGGGAAAAAGGCTTCCAGAGGCCGGAGGACCAGAGGTGAAATGCCGCACGGGTTCGGGTAAACTGGTAGCAGCGGTGGCGGGTGGTTCGGAGTACTGGTAGCGGCGGTAGCGCAAGCTCCGCCCACCCGCCATTACTTCCTGGTTTTAACCAGGAAGTAACCTGTTTTTTACTGTCTGCACATGTGCAGAGGATCCAAAATTGCACACGACACGCACGGCGCGTGCACTTCTGAAACGGTAGGGAAGGTAAGTAAATTTCACCCCTGCGGAGGAGTAATTGGGAGAATATGGTTGGCATGGACCGAGGACGGTTTGAAAAGAATGGGACGGAAAATAAAGGCTGTTTAACACAAAGGAGCCGAACAGGGGAAGGAATTGGAAGGCAGGTCTCTCTTGAATCTCACCCTCCACACATCGGCATCCGGATTGCAGAACCCAAGCGTACATGTCCACTCTGGACTGGGACATCAGCTGGTCTCCCATGAGGTAGGTGTTATGAGACGAGGCGATGAAATAGTGGCTCAGAGGGCGAGTCATGTCTTGGTTGACGTGGTAATGTTTGGGGTTGAAAATGTCCCCGGCGGGGCTGCGCATATACGTGGTGAACCCTGTAAGGAGAAAGAAAAACCAGAAGGAGTGTCTTTATTCCAGGATGAACTTGGTGGGGGGACCCTCTTTACCCCCATGTCGGTACGGCTAAGAATTCCCAGAGAACGTGGCCTTGTCAATCTCAGCAGACATGTAATTAAAAAACGGGCACCTTCTATCATATGTGGTGGACTTGTGTTAAAGGAAAAAAAAAAAAAACAACTCTGGGCAAAAATACACAGATGGATAGAAAAGATAATAGGGAAACATGTAGATTTTAAACCTGAATTGTTTTTATTAGGGATGATATCAGAAAAAAAATTGACAAGAAAAGTGGGTATTTAATGTTACATGTCTTTACAACAGCGAGAATTATTTTCGCACAATATTGGAAAAATGACGGAACCCCGCAAGATGAAGAGATCATTAAGAAGATATTAGATTGTGCAGAAATGGATAGACGCGCACCGACAATCAAACACAAAGAAGACACAGAATATTACCAAACGTGGAACTTATTTTACCAATGGTTGGAAAAAAGGGGTGGAGAGTAAGAAAGGAATTTTTATTGTTAAGCAATTGAAATATCCGGACAACACGATGTTTATCGAGCACTAAGAAATGTAAATCAATAGAAAATCAATAAAATCTACCTGTGTTTTCCCGAAAATAAGACCAGGTTTTATATTATTTTTTTGCTCCAAAGGATGCATTAGGGCTTATTTTCTGGTTAGGTCTTATTTTCAGGGAAATACGGTACTAAATGCTTCCGTCTGGCTGACATGCTTAACTGGGGCTTATTTCTGGGGTAGGGCTTATATTACGAGCATCCTGGAAAAAATCATGCTAGGGCTTATTTTCCGGTTGGGTCTTATTTTTGGGGAAACAGGGTATTTAAAAAAAAAAAATCCAGTGGACATTTGTGGGATTCCAGGCATCTCTGGAAGACGAAGGTGGGAGAACCAAAGAACTCGAGTCGGAGATTGAAAGGGAAGGAAGGGAAAAAGACAGAGCGACTGAATCCTCTAGTTCTGAAGCTGGACTTAGTCATCGCTTAATCTCCCTGTCGGAATGACTGACAGAGGAGGGGGAGGAAGAATTATGAGACACCCCCGCCCCGAATGCTTAACTTCTCCGAGAAAGAGGGATGATTACCAAGACAATGGCTTAAATATGCTCAAGTAATTACATGCGAGTTTAATTAGCGTCGCCCGAGTACATCGGCATTGAGAGAAATCCATAGTAACGCAGAAAACCCATCACTGTCATTGCTGGGTGAGATAGAAGTAGTCCTCGACTTACGACCACAACGGAGCCCAAGATTTCTGTGGTTGTGAAGCAGCTCTTGCCTCGTTTTGCAACCTTCCTTGTCACAGTTGTTAAGTGAATGACTGAATAAGTTAGTCACCCGCCTGTGAAGCGGATCTGGCTTCCCTGTGGATTTTGCTCGTCAGAAGATTGCAAAAGGGGATCACACGACCCCGGGGACACGGTGACCATCGTAACGGTGCATCGGTTCAAAGCTGCATTCAAAGCTGCAACGATCGTAAGCATGAAAAAGTTGCAGAATCCTGGAATCCCCTTTTGTGACCTTCTTGGGAAACAAGATTCACTGAACAACCGTGTGGCCAACTGAACCATTGCAATGATTCACATAACAAATAACATTAACAGAGTTGGAAGGGACCTTGGAGGTCATCTAGTCCAACCCTCCCGCCCAAGCAGGAGGCCCTACACCATTTCTGACAGAGTCTCTTCTCGAAAGCCTCCGGGGATGAAGCTCCCACAACTTCCGAAGGCAACTTCTGTCCCATCGGTTGATGGTTCTCACCGTCAGGAAATTTCTCCTTATTTCCAGGTTGAATCTCTCCTTGATCAGGTCTGGCAGGCAAGATCGTAAAACGGAGCGAAACTCACTTCGCAAATGCCTCAAATTAGCGACATAAATCCTGGGCTCCATTCTGGTCATAACCTGAGGACTACCTGTACTGTATAATCCAGGCCAGTAAATCAGAGGTGGGTATTCAGCCGGTTTGGACCGGTTCAAGCGAACCGGTAGTAGCGATCTGCAGGTGGCCGCCCACCTCACGCCCCAGGCGCCAATCCCATCCTATATTACTGTGGTTTTCACACTGCATGCATGTGTGGACGGTGCGTGCGAGCGAGCGAATTCCTCTGTTGTTTGACTTCGCACACATGTGCGGATGGCACACGCGTGCTCACGTTTCCGGTGCTGGGTGAACCGGTGGTGACAGAATGTGAAGCCCACCTCTTCAGTAAATTCACCTAAACTCCCTCCCACCCTCCCCATCATCCATGGCATTTGAACCAGGCGGGTCCATGGAGAAACAATTAGGCAGGAGACAAAGGCTGAGATATAGACAAAGATTTCTGCCGAGAGAATGGGAGTGTTTTGGGGTTGAAACTCTTAAAAAACTTTCCTCGAGCTCGTTCAACAGCCTTTCAAACGAGCCCGCTTTGGGAGGGTGGGAGTGGGCCACAAAATTGGAGTGAGTCCTTTCCAATGCTTTCCCTCCCAGACAGACCCCCAAAGCTCAGGCTGAAACTTTAAACACGCTCCTTCATCCGGTCCTTTTTTTTTTTTTTTGGCATCCTCTCCAACTGGGTGAACTGATTTCCCACCGTCTCCAGTTGGCTCTGACACTAATCCTTCCCAACTACAGCTTGGGGTGTGTGTGTGTGTGTGTGTGTGTGTGTGTGTGTGTGTGTGTGTTTTCTCCTCCAGTTGGATTTTGTCTGCACTCTTGGGTGGTGGCGACGGCTCCGTCAATTTTTGTTGCTATAGACTACCTAGCAACTGGGGTTGGGAAGCATGTTACATATTTAATATGTGTGCAGCTTTCTTGGAACTGCTGAAAAGACC